TATACCAAATAATCTACGTGTGTGTGCTATGTTAAATTGTTTAATTTTAACTACATGTTACCAGTGACTGTACCGTGTCATTCGAATAGTAAGTGGTGTGTGTATCAATAGAATAAAATTATTCAAGTAATTTTAGAATAATTTTATATTATTTAGAAAATATATAGACTTTACTGCAATAATTAAAAGAAAAAGATAGATGAACGGGCTTTGATTATCAGTGGTGAACCTTCTTAGTGGCTTTGCCAATTTTATACTAAGACCGATCTACTGATGTATTGATAAATTTTAAGAAAATACTATGTAATTACAAGGAACCTGTGTTCGTTGTATCAAGGAACATTGGCGTTTAAAAAACCTTAGAAGAATGCGTAGGAACGTGGCTTGATATATTTATTTGAGGGGTCTGTGGAAGGATAGTCTAAACCTGTATTTTCGACCGCTACGACCCGAGTTCGATTCCCGCATTGGGCACTTTTTTCTGATTAAAAAACTGCTCCAATGTCCCCCGATTCTTACAAATGTCAATCCCACCAGCGAGAGCAAGTAGTCAAACGGGGCTCTGGCACATTTGTAAGTGCAAAGTCGAACTGCTTTTTCACATGTGTAGACATGTGGAGCGCTTACAGTAAAAGCAGTCGCCTACTTCAACCCACCATAATTATCATGGACTGTACCACGTGTACTAGAGATAAGAAAAAAAGAAAATTGTATAATTAAACATAAATACTCATTGTAAACCTTTTTTCATAAGCTCCATAAACACCCTCAACATGTATTTCTCGGAATTTCATCACAATATTTGAAAGTTATACAATTGTAGAACGCTCTAGAGATAGATTTGGGGAATCCGCTGAGGTGGCTGCCCACTGTTTAGCCAAGCTCTCTCAACTAAATTTTCTATCATGCAGTGTAAAATCTTATAATACTTTAGTAGTTTATAAGAATTACACTCCTTCATGATAAATTTCAACAATTTCTTGATGGAGATTGTCTTGTTAAAATAAATAAACACAGATGCCCTAGGCTAGCATACAGCCAGATGTAGGGTCTTCATTTAATTATAACTATATTCAATTAGATAATATACATTATTGATATACAAAACGCTTCCGTGTATCAAATAATATTCCTATTAATATGATTTGCCTAAAAAGTGATTTTTATAGGGGTTTATATGTTATTTTAGAATTTTAAATAAAATTGTGATAAAATAATTTTAGATAAATATTTCTTATGATTTATTATCGATTATTATCTTTGCAGGCAATGATAAAAATATTAGATGAGAGGGCATGGCTCATCAGTGGTAAACCTCCCAGGAGTGTCGTCAAATTATCATCCAGATCGCTCTACTGTTGTAGGTTTTTATCATTATTTTTTTAAAGTAAAAAATACATGTTTTTAATACGTATTAGACTCTCAGAATATGTCAAATAGGCGTTTCTACACTGCTGGCCACCCAAATTGTAACACCAAGAAAGACAAAATTTATTTTGTAGAAAACATGTTGACCAAGTATCAAATGTTTGAATTTATAGACTTCTGCGAAGTGTGGTTCCTGCCAGAATAAGTAGCCAGAAGAGCCGCCATTGTTGGAGATCACCGCTGCCACACGCCTCGGCATTGATTCAAAGAGACTTTGGATGTGTTCTTGGGGTACAGCAGACCAAGCAGCTTCCACACGTTGCCAAAGTTGATCTGGTGTGGCAGCTGGGCATGTAATCTGGGTCATTTGTTGAGCAACCATGGACCATATGTTTTCTATCGGCAAAAGATCCGGAGAGCAAACTGGACAGAGAAGGATTTCAATCTGGCGATTGACGAAGAACCTTTGGACAATGCGTGCCACGTGTGGTCGCGCATTATCCTGTTTAAATATGGCCGTGGGCAAGCATATATACAATTTTATTTAACTATAATAAATGAAAATAAGATTATAAATGCCTTAACACTGCAAAATCTTCCTTCATTACTAAAAATAAATGTTTTAGATCCTATCAGAATAGAGAAATATGCGTAGACAATGTATAAACATTTTAAATTCACATTTTATTTTGTAAACGAGAAAAAAACACATTTATATATCCGCTTAATATTATTTTTTATTTACAAATACATAAACCTATTTATTATTTAGTTATTTCACTCTTAATTCTAGTGAATATTTTTATTTGTGACTAAAGAGTTCTGAGAAGGTATTATAATATATTAAAAATATAAAAAATCGTCGTATATGCCATTTTGGTTGTATTTTATATAGCTAAAGGTACCCGCAAATAATTATAAGAAAACATGTCCATAATTACAAATATATGCAATAACCCACCTCGATACTGTGTAAGGAAATACGACCTAAGTAATCAAGATATGAAACCATTGAAGCAATTTCCTGAATGTTCGAATACTCGAGTTGGTCGTCTTTTGATCTTGTTGAATATATGAGTAGTATAACACACCAAACGCAATTATTTAAAATCTATTCAAATATTTCAGAATTTTCTCAAATCAAGTTATTCAATAAACCATACACAAGGATCTTTCTAAATTAAATTAGCAGTATCAAATAAATTCATATAACATTATTAAGTTAATATTTACTGCACTATTATATAATAATTTTATTGTATAAAATGTGTGGTATATATAGAACTTACTTGAGAGATCGCCTTTGGAAACTTGAAAATGCTTTACTGAAGATGGTGGGTTAGTTCGGTACAAATAATTTTTAATTGACAAAGGGGGTCTCTACCCGGACTGCTCACTGTGAAATCTGCCTTGATACCTCCAGAAAGCGACCTATTTGTGGAGCAACCAGCTTGGAAAAATTGAATATAACTTGATGTTTTAACACAATATAATGCGGCTTATGATTGCAAAACGACATTTTAATATTATCCCGAATGTGTTTCTTTCAAACGAAAAATCCGAATTCATTTTTAAGGAGAAATAACGATTATTTCCAACCTTAGGGATGAATAATGAAAGGATGAATTGTGAAGACTAATGATAAACGGAAAATAAAAGTGTCCAGGAATGGGAACTTGATGTTAATGACCATAACCTCCAATGAGAGACCACCTCCAGCAGACACCAGGATTACTCGTGTTTCAAGCAGACTTCCATGGCAAGTATACTTGTGTATAATATAAATAGATCTTAATAAAGATTGTTTGTTAGCTATTTTCTATCCCTTATGAATGTAATGGATCATTAACAGTATTATATAGAAATACCTGTCCAAATTCTATATTAAGATGATATGTTATTGATTTGTTTCAAATATCATCATATTTATCATTATTATGATAAGTACCTGTGTGTTAAAAAATATATACAGTATAATATAGAAAAATAAAAGGGAGATTGAAATGGATAATTTAAACGAATACAGTAGAACTTCCCTGTGAAGAACACCTAATTGCAGAGCCAAAGTTTCCTTTAGGGAGTGATTTCTTCTTACCAGAGAGTTGCTAAATTGTAAAAATGGTAATTTCGCAAATTAAAACTGACCTTTGTGAAGAGGAGTTCACTAGCGGGGTGGCCTCTAAAGGGAGGTTCTACGGTATATATATATATATATATATACGTATATAAATGAATGTATGTGTGTGTGTCTGTTCTTTATGCCTGACCAAACCACTCATTGGAACGCCATGAAACTTTGGGAAGTTATTTAGTATAGTACTGAGAAGGTTTATGAAAAATAATTTCTTGAATATCCTTAAAGTTATTTGCATATTTGTAGATTTAACTCGCAAGCAGCGCCACCATTGCGGCGATGATTGCAATTTTTTTTATCTATATGTTTTATTATCACTAAGTTTATTATCTTAAAGATTATTTATCAAAAGTAAGATTTTCTACCTATTAATTGCGCACAAGTCAAAGTTAGTTATCGAGTATTTTCAAGGGACCGGGAAAAAATGTTCACTAGATAAAACGATGATTTTGTAATGTAGAAAATTAGGAAAGACAAAATTCAGGAGACACGGCAACTTATTTGAGACAAGAATAATGATACAATTCCAAGGCAAGATACTATTTCTTTAACTTCCAATCACCGAGGGAACCAATTAATATTGATTTTATTCAACTTATCGAGTATTTTTAAAGGGACCGGGAAAAAATGTTCTCTTCATCGAGAGATTCAAATTTACGAGTTTCAAATTATCAAAATATATCTTTTTTTATAAGTTTATAGAGAATTGTTTTAACAAATGTTCGTTGGACAAACCTTTACTCGGGTAAAACCCGGGCGAAGCCGGGTACATCCGCTAGTATATATATATTTAAAATCGAATTCTACAGCCCTTATCCTGTAATGATTAAACATTGAAAGAGGAGATGAAATTTTCCAAGAAATGTGATAAGAAAAATGTTATTGATAAGTTCCAAATATCATCATATATATAATTATTATGATAAGTACCTGTGTGTGAAAATATATACAGTATAATACCTCTCTAAAACATATCTCAATGGACAGGAAATATCAGCATTAGCGAAGATACCTATTAGAGAACAGAATGATAACAGAATAATTTTATGAGTAAAATAATAATTGATCAGTGTTTTTCTGAAATAATGTACATTAAAACAAGAATAAAAATATATATTTTATTGAAACTATTATTAATATATATATATTGTGTGTTTTATATATATAGTGAAAATAGAGCAATTCATAAATAAATATTTACACTGAAGATGGTTGTTTGTTCGGTACAAATCATTTTTAATTGACAAAGGGGTCTCTATTGGAGTTGCTCGCTGTGAAATCTGCCTTGATACCTCCAGAAACCGACCTATCTGTGGAGCAACCAGCTTGTAAAATTGAATACAACTTGATGTTATAATACAACTAGCCGAATGACCCGGGCAACGCAATTTGCAAATAACTTGTATACTTGTGTACATAGACCATAAATCTGTACATAGACAGGAAAAGCACATTTATTTTAATAATATAAATGAGTTTTAAAAATTATAAAAAAAAATGCATCGGCCGGGAATCGAACTCGGGTAGCCCGCGTGGCAGGCGAGCATTCTACCACTGAACCACCGATGCTTATAAAAAATGTCCATATTTGGGTATTTATTCCATTCACAAAAGCAAACGGTGACAGAATTGTTGATTGATTGATGACTCTCATACTTGTATATTTTAATATAATGTGGCTTATGGTTGTAAAACGCCATTTGAAAATTATCCCGCATGTGTTTCTTTTAAACGAAAAATCCGAATTCATTTTTTAAGGAGAAATACTGATTATTTCCAACCTTAGGGATAAATAATGAAAGGATGAATTGTGAAGAGTAATGATAAACGGAAAAATAAAAGTGTCCAGGAATGGGAACTTGGTGTTAATGACCCTAACCTCCAATGAGAGACCACCTACAAGAAAGACCAGGATTACTCGTGTTACAAGCAGACTTCCATGGCAAGTATACTAGGAGAAAATATTGGATATTACCTGAGAACAATAGAAAGGCGGGGGGATTTTCCGCCGCGTGGGCAGATAGCCCAGAGGGTAGACGGCTATTGGAATCTCCAGGGCAAGTTTTAAAAAACAAAAAACTTCACCAGTTTCCTCTACCTCTGATATAAAATCTAGATTTTTAAAATAAAAACTGGCAAACCGTCGAAGAAGCAGTGATAAATTGATCGAGGCGTTATTTTCTATTCGCTTTTATTTTAGGTAAAATTGGTCAAGAAGTGAGATTTTTTCGCCTCTCTAAGTGTTTCCTAAATTTGTTTTCCCATAAATATTTCAGGCAGTTTGGGAGAATATCCTCTCTGGAAAGAGATAGAGTTTTTATTTATTAAGCTAATGTTTATATTAATATATATTTATAGTATTATATATATATATACAGATGAGTTATATTAATTTTAAAGTTGAAGATTGATTTTACGTAAAATATTTATTATTTTATGTTTTATCTTGCACTCTTTGATTTGTAAAATTTATTTCCACGCCGATTGATAATAATTATAATTTTTATATAAAAAGGGCGTACTGGATCTGTAAAAAAAAAAACAATTTTTTCAAGTTATTTTTATGTGATCTACAATAATTTGTAAATTAAGTTTACTAGCAAAAAATTGATGAAGAGGGAGGAATCTCTCGAAATATGTATTTCAAACCTTTTTGAGTGTGGTTAAGACAGACATGTAGAACCTTTCTGTTGTATTTTATTTGTAACATATGATTTGATTTCTCAGGCAGGCTGAATATGTAAAAATTCTGCATCTGAAATATGGTAACATAGATCTTCTAAATTATTATTCACCTCAGCGATTAGTATAGGCAATGCTGAGGTACTTTTCCAGTGTCATGATCTGATTCATCTGATGTTTTTGCAGTGTGTGATGTAAGTGGTTCTTTCTATAAAATTATTTTGTGTCCAGATTTGTCTGGACGATTGTTGCTCTTTGTTTAAGATCTCACAGCTTCAATACCTTGGGAATTGTGCTCTACAACAATTGCAACACTTTTTAAAAAAATTATAACACTGTATATAATGAAGCGCCATTAGAATTTTTTAATTCACGTGGTGGTAATACATAGAGTACTAGGAAAGTTTTACGATATTACTTTATTATTTACAATCTTTTGAAATATTTTCCACCACAATCAATACACTTCTACATCCTTTGAAATCTGTCATCAAACCAACTTTTACACGTTTACTCAGGGAGCTGGGCACACTCGTTATCCCATGTCTTCAAAAGGTCTTCGTCGCAGAAAAAGCGTTTACCTTTTAGTCTGATTTTCACATTTGAAAAAGAGGGCAAAGTCGCAAGGTGCAAGATCTGGACTGTAGGGAGGATGCTCCAACAGTTTTAGTCAAATTTCTATTGATTTTGTTAATTATTTGTTCGAGTTTGTTTTGGAAAGTGTATAATTGATATTTCGCCATTTTTATGTTTGAGCCTCCTCAAGTTTCGTATGGTTGTGCCTTAATATCTTCTTCAATGTCTTGTAGGTTAGTACCTATCTCTCTAGTGGTATTACTTTGAATACTTATTTGAGACCTCTATATCTAAGGGGAAGCTGGGTCGGTTTTTACAAATTTCTTTATCTTACCTTTATAGTTAACTGTCAATATTCTTCACTTAGATTTGCTTAACATTTCTTATTTTATAGGTCTTTTTGCTCTCTCAAATGTAAAATCCTGGAAAATATCTTCCTAAAGATGAACCTGCCTAGTACCACTTCATGTATTGGACCTTCATTTATTGCTTTGGAAATAAAAAAAAAATAAATAAAACTTAGCTCTGAAGGACAACCTGGGTCGTTGGTGACTTCTGCATGCTCCAGAGAAACCGGATTAGCCGAGAAAATATTTGAAATGATGTTTTCTTTTTTGCGCTTGTCTGTTTATAATAAGTGTTTATAATAATATTTGTGTAGTTCAATGCCTTCCATGAAGGTTGGTGCTTCCTTTTTTATTTTTGGTCTTGTAGTTATTCTAGTAGTTTGAAGTCGTGCAAGCTTTGTCTTAGTTTTTGAATTTGATATGGCAGTATTTATATTCAAAGTCAGACTGTTTGGTAAATCTCACATTTGTTATTATAGAGGTATTTCTTTAGATTAAGAGATTGAAGTTAATTTTCCAAATTTTCTCTTGATGTTTTAATTTAATTGATTTGAAGTAATATGTTTAAATCCCTTTTTGATCGTCTGGTATGGATGTATAATTTATTTGTTTTAGGATCGATCTTATCATGCTGAATTCTTTTTTCCAGAACGTCTTATAAGTTTTCCTGGACTCTTATTTTTTCTGTATTTGTTGAATGGCTTGAATCAGGATTATATTATTTTTCAATTTCTATATATGTGCGCATGTTATATAAAATTCTGGTCAATAACAATAATTTTCTATTTTTTTTTTATTATCAAATTTTTCATTGTGTATTCCGGGTAGTTGGCGTTCTCCGCGCTACAGGAACCTGGGATATAAATACAGTTAAACCTGTCTATAGCGCCCCCTCGCTATAGCACCCTATTTTGCTGAGTCAAGTGGGCGCTATAGACAGGTTTAACTGTATATATATATTATGTATCTTATTTATATACTAGCCGAAAGACCCGGGCAACGCCCGTGTTTTACCCGATTGAATGTTTTTATTCAAATACTATTTGTTACAATTATCATATTAGTTACGTATTGTGGACGTGTATAGTTGACAAACATACATACATACATACGCTGACTTTTATATATATAGGGATAATAATATAAATGAGTTTTAAAAATTGTAAAAAAGAAAAAAAAATGCATCGGCCGGGAATCAAACCCAAGCCGCCCACGTGGCAGGCGTATTTGGGTATTTATTCCATTCACAAAAGCAAACGATGACAGAATTGTCGATGACTCTGATACTTGTATTTATAATTATGTTAGCATAATGAATTAGTCAGCATTCCCATGGTCTCCAGCGAAGAGGTGTGAATTGACTTTTTGAAAATATACATAATTATAAAGATAGAAGCTTCTATAGAAATAAATAAAATAAGCCGAAATAGCTCATTTAGGAGAGCGTTAGACTGAATATCTAAAGGTCCCTGGTTCGATCCCGGGTTTCGGCATCTTTTTTTTAATTTTTAAATTTCATCCGTGACAGAGGCCAGGAAAGACGGTCGTGACTATATATATTAATAATACATTTTGTGTAGAAATAGGATTAGTTGACTTTATAAGGTAAACTTATTCATACAGTTTGTATCCCTCGATAGCTCAGTTGGCAGAACGGAGGACTGTAGATGTTACAACAGTGATCCTTAGGTCGCTGGTTCAAATCCGGCTCGAGGGAGTTTTTTTATTTTTATTTTTATTGACTGCCGGCGAGCACGTGACCTCCCTGCGCGCGCGCATCCGTGACAGAGGCCATGACGGTCGTGACTATATATATTACTAGACGAATGGCCCGGGCAACGCCCGGGTTTTACCCGAGTGCGTATATATTTTTAAAATGTTTTAATCAAAATACTATTCGTTACAATTATAAATTGGCGCCGTGGATGTCTCTCTTGTGAAACGTCCCGCCCCAAACTGTGTGTGTCTTGAAAATATAAAAATAAAAATGTGAACGAAAAATATGTCCAGGGTAGCCTAGTGGTCATGGCATCTGCCCGGTAAGCGGAAGGTCGAGGGTTCGATTCCCATCCCTTGACACTTTTTTTATTTTATCCATTCTGACCAAAATCTATCCGTGAACTTCACACAGTGAACTTCACACAGACAGAATAAGGCAATTCTATAATAAGATAATCCAAATTGTGCCTTATCACACACTATTTTTTTATTTGGCCTTATTACCTTGTGTTTATAATCTATGACGTAATGCCGGCGGCGCGCGCCCGTTGGCTGCCGGCGAGCAAGTGACCTCCCTGTGCGCGCGCATCCGTGACAGCGGCCGATGAGGAATTGAGGAAAGATAATAATAATTATCATTAGATAATGATAATGATCATAATGATGATTCGCGCGCATCCGTGACAGAGGCCATGACGGTCGTGACTATATATGTTGACTAGACGAATGACCCGGGCAACGCCCGGGTTTTACCCGAGTGCGTATATATTTTTTAAATGTTTTAATTAAAATACTATTCGTTACAATTATAAATTGGCGCCGCGGATGTCTCTCTTGTGAAACTCCCGCCCCAAACTGTGTGTGTCTTGAAAATATAAAAATAAAAATGTGAACGGAAAAATATGTCCAGGGTAGCCTAGTGGTCATGGCATCTGCCCGGTAAGCGGAAGGTCGTGGGTTCGATTCCCATCCCTTGACACTTTTTTTATTTTATCCATTCTGACCAAAATCTATCCGTGAACTTCACACAGAGAGAATAAGGCAATTATATAAGTAGATAATCCAAATTGTGCCTTATCACACACTATTTTTTATTTGGCCGTATTACCTTGTGTTTATAATCTATGACGTAATGCCGGCGGCGCGCGCCCGTTGGCTGCCGGCGAGCACGTGACCTCCCTGTGCGCGCGCATCCGTGACAGAACCGGCCGGCCCATGACGGTCGTGACTATATATATAATTGAT